GTCCACTTGTTAAATAGATCCCATCTTTCTGTTGCCTTTTGCAAGGGATAGTCCTTCATGACTTCTGATAAAATGTCCATTTCGGCTATTTCCCGTATCTTTTCAATAAGATCTTCTTGTTTCGGTACCGTTGATCTTTTCCAATTTTTAGCATATAAAATTCTAGCTGCCGTAACTATGTATATAACTATATAATTCTTTGACTTATCTATATTTTCAGGTATCATACTCAATAAAAACAGTTCTGGGGTTAATGGCACTTTACAGAGCAATATTTGTTCCAACATTACATGTACTCTTTTCCAATATTGTTTCGCTACTCCACATGACCACCACATATGATAATAGCTTCCCACTTGTGATTCACATTTCCAACACTTATTTGATACATCTGTATACATCTTTGACAATTTTTCTGGGGTCATGTGCCATCTATAAAACATCTTATATATATTCTCTTTAAAGTTCACCGATCTTGTAAGCTTTATATTATTTTGCCATATTTTCAGCCATTGATCAATATCAATGTTATGCCCTATATTTTGTGCCCACTTAATCATACATTCCTTAACCATTTCATCTTGCATCTTAATTTCCAACATATAATTATACATTTTCTTAACAGTTTGTTCTTTTGAACCTAATAAAAGTTTGTCAAAAATCGTTTGCTCTAAGTAGAAGCCTTCTATTTTATCTTTTGTATATCTAGATTCTAGCTGTGCTCTAGGCCACCACTCTATATATATATTCTGTGACTCTAGCTCTTCTTTAGACTTTAGTTCACCATCCTTTTTTAATAGATCTTGATATTTTAAAAAGTTTGTTTTTGTCATAAGACTGGGTTGGATAAAGGCCTCTAACGATGACACCCATACAGGTATTTTATAATAAATTTGTTGTACAATTTTTCTCCACATTCCCAGCAAAGCTCTTCTTATCATATGTGAATTAAAAAATTTTTGTTCTTTGTCCTTTTTATACCATAAATAGGCATGCCAGCCTAATTGCAAATCATGTCCCTCCAAGCTAAGTAATCTA